CAATGCGCGCTATCTTATTACCCCACCAATTTTAACCCTACCTACTACGCTACTGCCCGATCAATCATAGATAGGATCACTCTGTTCTCGATTTACTTGATTAGTTATTTATTGAATTCTATTCCTTATTTATTTTTATTTTTTATATTTGTTTTTATGTTTCTTAAAATTCATTATAAATTCTTGTAATTCGGAAATACTTTGGATTCTTTTGGAAGTAATTAATGATTTTTTAGACATTTCTTTTTCAAATTTTGAAAACATTTTTTTTTTTTTAATTAATTCCTTTTTTTCGAAAATTTTGAAAATACATAGAATTAATTATTCTTTCTCGGCATTTCTTCCTTGAACTTCAAAAATAATTTTAATAAACGTTTTTTAAACTTTTTGTAATTTGAAAATATTGTAGAATTATTATTATTATTTTTTTTTTCGTAATCCGAGAATACGTTAGCGTTATTAATCCTTTTTTGACATTTCTTTGGAATTCAAAAACAATATTAGTTATTTAAAAAATAATAATAATTCAAAATATGTTAGAATTAATTATTTGTTTTGCGAATTTTTTTTGTAATTCACAAATACTTTTGAGTTAATCAATTCTTTCTCAACATTTCTTTTTCGAAATTCAAAATACTTTTTTCATTTTTTTTTTGTTGAAAATTTTGTCATTCGTTTGAATTAATTATTTCTTTTTTTGTATATTTTAAACTCCTTTTTGAAATTTCTCTGGAAATACATCATGATCAATTAATTCTTTTTTGCAAATATTTTTTGATTTTTCTATTTACTTATATACTTCGGAAGTACTTTCTTTTTTTAGGTATTCAGAACTCCTCAATTAATTTTGACTTAATACAATTAATTCACGACTGAATTAATCCCTTTATTCGAAATTAATCACCCTTTTTCAAATTAATCACCCTTTTTCAAATTAATCACCCTCGTGTGCGCTAGAGTCCGCAAAGCGGGCCCGGGGTGGATTAGCGAACCTTGGCCGGCCGGCTCTTGGGGAGCAAGTGACCGCCTCGAGCCCGTACGACGCAATGAGGGAAGAGACGGCCCTCGTACGGAGCCGACATAGCTGAGCTATGCCGATGTGAGACTATACCCGAACTGCCCCTTGATTGGGGTAGGGACGCCGGTGCGTTCTGTGGTATGGCCCCCGCACGACTCCCCCTGGCAGCCTGATTGCACTGAATTACGAACTCACTTTCCTCAAGATCTGGACGAAAAGACCTAGCTACCTCGGTAATTTCGGAGTCATTGTTTGCTCGTGCCTGCTGGAGCAGGCCCGAGACAAGAACTGGGCGTGGTGAATTCCAACCGGAAGATATAACGGTAATCATGGATGATTCGGAGCGGCGCATCTGGACGCAGTGGGAGAGCGTGCGGCTGCGGTGGCAGCGTTTTGGCATGTCCAAGGAGTACAACGCGTCTCGATCTGCCTGTCCACATAGCAAGGTAGTTGTAGGATCACTGATTTCGTGTCTGTTTTCTCACTCAATAGGGTCATTACATTTGCTTCCTATGATCTGTGTAGTTTTCCATTCACGCTAAGTATTGGGCACATGTATTAGGCACTTGGTTCTTACACCTCCATAGGGGGGTTTTGAATACCCTTGGCTTGGTAATTGTGTCTGTCATGCTGTATCACACGAAGTTGTGAGTATTTGGGCTCTCTGTTGGTTTGTTACTTATCATTACGCTTACGTCATAGTATGCTTCGCCCCATTTTCCTCCTTGGTCTTGCTTTAGTAGCCCTGTCGGTCAGTTGGGTGGCGCTTCTCTTGGGTGGTCGGCCTGGGCGGTCTTTTGTCTGTTTGTTGCTTCGAGTATTAGTACGCCCTTAGCGTTTCGTTTTTATAAACATGTATTATTAAGTATCTTAGGATTAGCATTTTCCTTCTGCTTGTTTTATTAGGTGTAATTTCTGTTCGTTTGGTTGGCTGGTCTGTAATTTCGTAGTGGACGCGTCGATGTGCTAGGCTTTAATTGGTAATCGCTGTTAATTGAAGGGATCGTTTTGCGGTCTTGCGACGGGCAATTGGAGTGATAAATTTTTGGTTAGTTTGGGAGTTCCTGCACGTAATTTACCATAGAAAAACCTACGACAGTATCTGGGGAATTAAGTTGTTAAAGATAGGAGTTCGTTTTGTTGGGTAGGTGGATTGGTGTTTAACTGTTTAATAGTCCTTGTGAGATGGAGGTACGGTGGCTGATGATTGGAGATCAAGGCAACTGGTGATAGTACTGTGATACCCGTGGAATTGTTAGTAGCGGCGCCACCTTGAGAAGTGAGAGTGTAACAAGGGGCGGTGGGAACGTTACTGGTTAGGAGGCACGAGAGAACCGGTGAAGAGCAAACTTGAGTTGTACCCATTGTGTCCGCTGAACCACGAGGACCAAGGGTGCGTGGTGGGAAACCCGTCATGGCAGCTCAGGCCCTTTACAGGGTGTTGGAACAGAGTGGGTGAAAGGGTAACTCGTTACAGCAGCTAATGAGTGTGAGAACAAAGCAATCGGTACTATAGCCAGGGTGAAACCCAGGGAATTACTGATAGCGGCGCCATCTTGAGCAGTACGAAACTATGAGGGTATCAAGAGGCGGTGGGAACGCTTTTGGTCAGATGCTACGAGAGAACTGGTGAGGAGCAAACTTGAGCTGTACCCATTGTGTCCGCTAAAACCACGAAGGGCTCAAGGGTGAGTGGTGGAAACCCGTCATGGCAGATCAGGCTCCTTGCAGGGTAGTGGAATAGGGAGGGTAACAGGGTCACCCCAGCCAGGTGTGATCAAGTAACTGCTGTATGATTGTTCTCAATTTTTTGGGAGACAATATCACCACGTTTAGTTTGAAATTGGTTCGAGCTTGGGTTGAAATTTGGGATTATTTGGGATTATTTAGTTTGTTTTCGGAATAATTTTAGGGTTAAAATTGTGAAAATTCCATGTGAATTGCCTTGGGCGTTTTCGAATTCTGCAGATTATAATTTGTAGTTCCTTGCCAATAGTTTTTCGACGTTAGAAACCTGCCGGCGTTGCACTTCTTTCTCTGCGCTGCAAAGATATCATGTTATAGGCTGAAGGACTGGGGAGGTTTGTTATAGATTAGTTCAGCCGTCCTTTTCTGTG